ACTGAAATATGCAAAATAATAGTGGAAAAAAAGGTTGAAAACTTGGGCTTTGGTTATTCTTTATATAAAGCTTAATGCTGAGATCGTAGAGATCTCGGTATGTGTATAGATTTCTCCTTTTGTCTATCATCTCATGGTTGTACCATTGTGAACATAAAATTTCAAATTGATTATCCCGAATGTAATTATATATTTCAAAATTGGCATACCTTGGTCTAATCATAACTGACCTTCTCTTCTTGAGAGATGAACCATCTTCCTATTTTGTCCTCTAGATCACACCAAGGAATATGCAATCTACTCATATGGTGGTGATTTTTGACCATTCTCATCTTTATACTTTTTGCACTGTTGGGTTTGTCAAATAATCAGGGAGACTATTAGCATTCATTCAGGATGATGGCACAGTTATTTTACAGATAATACTATTAAGGAGGTATCAAGGAAAAAATAATTAACAGAAAATTCAATTAGTAAACCCTTGTTTTTCTGCAGTGAAGAAGCATAGAGAGAAGTTAAATACCTGGAGGCATATTCTTCCCACCAACATACTACATTCAAAGTATTAACTTTCAGAGTTGGGATGCTTTAGGCAGCGAAGTAGTTCCCCTGATTCGTAAATTAATCAATATAACTGCTGGGTGACACTATTTAGATCATGTATCATAGTGCCCAGGATAGCAAATGTTTCAACTATAGTCAAGGAAGCTTCCATATTAGCTCAATGCAATTTACTGGTCAATTGTGAAGACATTGTCTCTGCAGATAGCTGCTATAGGACTTCTTCTTTTCCATTCTTGTAAACCTATTGATTCAAGATTTATGTCAAGCCTATCAAGAAAATAAGAAACATAAAAGACTAAATGAATAATAGGGTGAAAATGCAACTTAGAGCTAGCTTAACTTATGAATAAAAAACTAGTATAGGAGAATGAGTTCATACATAGTGTCTTTAAATTAGCCAAATATTCAGTTATGCCATTACACCAGATAAGGACTCCTTCTGTCTTTGTAAATTTTCTATTTTTTTTTTCTTTCTTTCATTTTTAGCCTTTCATTCTTTTCTTTCTTTCTAGAGCATGCACTGGGCTTCAAATGGAAAGCATATTGAAATTAGAGAAAAAAAAGAGGGAATTCTGTATATGCCTGATCTATTTGAATATAGGTAATGTACTGCTACCATAAGCATTGTCACAGATCTCACAACCTCAATGGAAATTTGTCTGTGGAGCAAAGAAAATGAGATCAGTATCACATATTTTTCCTTTTTTTCTATGTTCAGTAGCCCATTGTGGTTAGGGTGTAATCTAGGCAATACACTAGGAAGTATTTAAGCTACTCTAACTCAATTCTTTTTAATTAGATTTGTAAACGGTATTGAACTAATAAACCTACAGTAATCATGAAAATAGAGCACTTGAACACTTGACTTAATGTATGTTCTTCAAATACAAAGAATATTTATGAAAATTAATTATATAATTTCAAGTGACATAAAGATACCTGATTTCTAGGCGAACCTTCTATTTACGAACATAAATCACTTGGAGTTTGACTCCTCAATAAGCTTTGAAATAAAGATCGAATCCAATGTATGGTACGTGGGCAATTTTGGGCCACTCTTGTCCTTCATCCTTGTTGCATCGTTGTTTTAGCAATGGACATTTAGAAATATCTAGTTTCAGAAGTGAGGGAAACACTCCCTTCCTCGGAAGGGATTTGAGCTTGGGGCAACCTTGGATATGCAATGATTCAAGAGAGGTGAGATGTTGAAAGCCCTCAGAGAACAGACTTACAAGGTTGGGAAAATTGATGATGGTGAAAGAGGTGAGAGGGGGGTAGAAGCATTTCTTTGTAAGGGAATGACACCACATCGAGAGAAGCACCGTTGATGGAGAAATGCTAAAGAGAGGTGAGTTTGTACAAACCCCACTCAATTACTGACTTGCAGATAGTGGGTTGTGAGATTGTAAGTGAAATGAGATTGGTAGGGAACCCCTCTTCTGGTAAAGATACCACACTCGCACAATCATATATCAATAATTTTTTGAGAGAGACGATGTTGTGCATGCTGTTGGCATTTTTGAAAGGGAGACACTTTTCATGATTGAGCCAAAATTTGTAGAACTCGTACCCACCACCTCTTGGCATTCTTCAATTTCGAACGTGCACAACTTTGTGAGGCTAGAGAGTGAAACTACCAATTGCTCACATTGACGAATCTCAAGTTTCTTCAATGAAGGAGGACAAGTAGCTAGACTTTTCAGTTTTTGACATTGAATAATCACTAGTTCCTCTAAAGAAGGAAGACGAGTAGGTAAACTTTCCAACAACTTGGGACAATTGAAAATGGAAAGCATGCGGAGGAGTTGGAAGTTTTTCACATCTCCATCAACTTCACAAGGATCCCATTCTTTCCATTCGGACATGCTTTCAAAAACTAATTCCTCATAGTTTTGGAAACGCAGTTGATGCATTTCTCCAAAAAAGTTGGCACCCACAGTAGTCACCTTATGCATCCCCCTGCTAGAAAGGTATTTTAGCAGTGGTAATTTTCCAATTTCTGGTAATGATGTGCAATTTGGACAATAATCCAGCCCCAAATGTGATAGCTTTTCAAACGAAGGATCTCCTATCCAATTTGCAAATGTTCCACCTCCATAATATTTGATGGTGAGCCTTTCAAGCATTGTATGAGGTCGAAGTAAATTCAACACATCCTTGTGAATTTGAAGTTCTTCTGCTTCAAAATCGTGATGGAAGTAATTCCACTCCAAAGTTAAATCACAAATGTTTGGCTTCTTACATAACTTAGCCGCCAATGCATCTTGAGCTTGGACAATGTTCTCCAATCCCGAAATAAGAAGTCCACCCTTAAGATTAGACAAATTCTTCGTCTCCCGTATCTGAAGGCCATTATCTTGACTCACAACAAATTTTGTCAAGGTTTGGAGATTGGTTAGCTCACCAATTCCCATCGGCATCTTTATTTTTGAATTTGCATCAGTGAAGTCAAGATGCCTTAGGTTAATTAAATCCCCCATTTTTGAAGGAAACTCCTTGAGATTACGACACTGCCACAAAATCAAAGTCTCTAAATTATAAAGCTTGCATATTGAATTGGGTAGGTTTTGATTGGAGTGTAAGAAAAATTGAGATAACGTAAATGTATCAAATCTCCAAAAACATCAGAAAACTCGGTCAAGTGATACCCTTCTAAAGAAAGCACCCTTAAGCATTTCAATTTGGGCAACAAATCACTGAGAACTTGATTAGATATATAGCAATACCCTTTATATGGCATCTTCAACGGTCCTTTCCATAAAAGACTTGGAATTTTTTAATTCCATCTTCCGAACCACCAATGTAAGATGAGTGGCGAGCATTATTGGAAATATTCAATTTCTTGTCACCCTCCACTTTGAAGCATAAATCTTCGGTGACTGATTGAGCCAAATCATTAATTAAATCATGCATTACATATCGAGACTTATCCTGACTTGATCTTTCGAAAAATGACCTTGATACAAGTTCTTGAAAGATCTCCTGACCCAAATCTTC